TTGAGTTGATGTTGACTCCGAAGGACTTGAGAGGACAGTGGAAGAGATGCTAGAATGTTCCATTCTGACTCCTTATTGTTAACAGATGTTCTAGGAAAGCAACGGGTCCCATGATCAAATACATTTGGGAAACTTTAGGCTTAGAGAAAGTCTTTATTACTGTGGGCTTGTGATACAAGTGTTTCCACCCCATTCTTGGTATAGGGGAGAGTTGTCTCATTTCACGGTCCTCTTCGTCTCTGATCAGTCTCTGGAGTGATGCAAGAAGAGTTATCCACACCTCTCACTGTGTAACTTTCAGAAGTCCTTCTTGGGAGGAGGTTGCATTTTATTTCCTTTCCTGAACTTCCCAAACATCCACTGCACTGAATCTCTAACAGCAGTGCTGCCAACAGGAGGGAGAGCTGCCTTTCGAGCTGAGGAACACTTCTGGGTTCCAGGAACCAGTTCTTCCTCCTCACACGGCTACTTTTTCAACTACCCTCATCTGTCAATGTCCACAGTGAAGTGTTCCTTGAATGGGGCAACCTCATGTCACTGCATGAGCTCACTCTGGGCACTGGATGGTTTTCAATAAACGGATCAATATACTGGTTCACAGCCCATGATCACAAAGATATTAAGGTGCCAAAGGCATTTACACTTGGAATTCTTGTGTCTATTTATGAAGAAAGAGGACACCACCACAATTTGGTTGGAAGTGTGTATCATTTGTTAGGCCTGTGAGGGAGCCCGGGTGGCAGAGCCCACGGGGAGTCACGTGACCAGCCCAAAAGCACACCTGTGGCTGGAATCCACCAGGGGCTGCACAGGTGAGGTGAGCGAGCTTTTCCAGTGGGATTTACAGTCTCAGAAACTTGCTGGAGGATCAGTTGAGTCAGTTCCAGTTTGACAGCAATGAGTATACACATACACTAGACAATCACAAAAGACAGAAATACCACTAAGGAAAAGAAAAGGCGCTCAACTTCACCAGCCATCAGAACAGTGTAAATTGAACCCATAACGGAGTCCATCTAACATTTATCAATCAGCCTGGCGACGATGGAAAGATCAACACCACCAAGCACTGGTGAGGGTGTGGAGCAACTGGAACTCACACACACTGCTGATGGGAGTGTAGCATCATAGTCCCTTTGGAAATTTTTTTATTATTAATAAAGCAAAAAAATGTACATACACTATGATCCAACAACTTCATTCTAAGGTATAAACCGAATGTGCTCATCAATTCACCAACAGGCATACACAGGCTATTCAGCAGTACTCCTCATCATAATCTTAAATGGAAACAACGTGGAGGTCTGCCAATAAAGGAAGAGAAACATTAGGCCAGAGTGCTCCCCGAAGGTAAGGAAGGCACAGCTTCATCTCCTATAACATCGGGCTATTCCTTGGAAAAGGATCTACATCATGCTTGGAAAGGTCAAGTAAAGAGAGGAAGACCCTCAACCAGATGGACTGACACAGCAACAGCAGCAATGGACTCGAGAATGTCAGAGATGATGAGGATGGCACTGAAGAGGACAGGGTCCAGATCAGAGGGTCGCGATGAATCATAGTCAATTCAATGGCACATAACAACAACGTTCTCCCCATCCTTAAGAATTGGTCCTTAGGGAGTGACACTGCTTACCATGTATCTAGCAGTTCGACTCCACTATCCACTGCTTGGGAAGAAGATGAACAGTCTCCTCCCAGGTAATCTACAGTCTCAGAATCCTAATAGAGGGTCATCCAGGACTTGGTTTTGAGCTGACAGCTCTAGGAACAAGAAAGACCCCTATTGCTGGCTACCTGTCCTTGCCTCTTGAAATCTCCTGTGATAGGCGACCACCCCCCAGCATGGACTGTCAAGGCCTCAGCCCCAGGACATAGATTCTTGTGCAATGCAGTTACCTCATGTCAGCTCTTGTGCCCTGACCAACACGGAACTCCCTCAAACTCACGCTAGAGCTTTGCAGAGATGGAAAAAAAGGCACGTAGGATAAATAATGGAGTGAAGATAGGACTATGACTCTCCCCTCACCCAAGTTGGACCTTGGAGCATCAACAACTTGGATAATTAGCATCTGATGCCCAGAGTTGGTAAGTTGAGGCCTGACTCTGGTGTTGTTGTTGCTGTTGATTGCCTTCAAGTTGAGCACAATGCATAACGATTCTGAACAAAAGGCCCGAACTATTGACATTTATCAAAGTTCACAGAGTTTCCAGAGGCACAGCACCTTGTTTAGGAAGTGGATGCTACTCTAGAAATCCTCCTCCTCCATACTTCAGGAGAGGAAGCTGAGGTTGAGAGCAAGAAAACTAATTCGTAAAGAACACACAGCCTGCTTTGCACACAACTTGAGTCTTCAAATCCCAGCCCATTGATGCATGTTGTGAAGCTGACTTTGACTCACGGCAATCCTATTGACAGAACAGAACAGTCTCAGAGAGTCTGCTAGGCGGTAATCTTGATGGGGGTTGAGCACCAGGTCTCAGCTCCCTCGGAGGGGCTGAAGGGTTCCCAACACCAACCTTTACCCGCTGACAGAAACCTCACACACACGCAGATGTCTGCCATGTCTTCTTTCACATCCATCAAAAAGACAGACATTTTTAATCATTCTTATGAGTTAAAACACTCCACTCCCCGTTCAAAAGTGAATCCTTTTCTTTGGAGAGGAAACCCAAACTACATATTAGGATGAGACAACTTATCAGGTTTCTGCGAGAGCAGGATCCTGAAAGAATTACATTTGGTAAAGCTCATTTTGATCAGACACACAAAGACCTGACAACAGCGGCTTTCTCTTCCTGCCAGGCAAGTGGTTGGACTTTACACATAAGGAGTCATAATGTGCCCCGAGTCCTACTAGTTACTAAGTGCTGGTGTAAGAATTAGAACCTAGACATCTCATGTCATCTTCCTCTGTCCTGCTGAGTCAGACCCGACTCATCACTGACCCTCCAGCAGGATCCCGGGGCTATAAATGGCACAGGGGGAGACTCTCATCTTCCTCCTGGTGTGGCCGGAGGTTTCAAACCACTAGAAAGGCAAGCAGTGAGCCTCCATCTGGATTATGCCACCACAGCTTCCTAGGTCCTGGAGAGACTACTCTTGACCACTAGAGTGGGGTCAGTGATCAAGTTTAAGCCACGATTTGCTGTTTAAGCTCCAACCGAAAACTTTAGGAGTAGAAACCATGAGAGCAGGCAAAAAAAAGAGCAAGAGATTATAAATAGGCGTGTGTGTGTGGTGTTACAGTGTATAATGTTATAATATGCCGAGCCGTACTGATCACTTAAATGAACCAAGCTCAGCTGAGTCAAACGTTTGATTCACTCCATACTGACTTAAGCCACAGCTTTCGATCAGCTCACAGTCATGTAGAAATAGGACAATGAATTAGGAAGACTGAAGAAGAATTGTTCCCTTAACATGAGGATGATGTTGGAGAATGAAGAATGTGAATTGCCTTCCAAAAGAATGATCCAGTATGTCTTGGAGAAGTGCAGTCAAAGTGAGGCGACACACATTTTCAGAAGTAAGGATGGTGAGATTTTGTTCACGTGCTTTGGATGTGTTATTAGGAGGGACTAGTCCCTGAAGAAAGGCATTATACTTGGAGAAGCAGAGATCAGTGGAAAACAGGAAGTCTCTCAAGGAGTCAGACCAACACAGAGGTTGCAACAATGGGTTCACACACATAAGACTTGTGCTGATGGCCCAGGACCAGGCTCTGCTTCATTCGGCCATACCTGGAGTCACTACGCAGGGGAACCAAGCTGACAGCACCTAGCAACCACCACCAAAGAACGCAACCACTCTGGTTCTGAGGAAAGGCTGGAAACTAACTAGGAGGCCACCACAAAAGAAGAAAGATCAAGGTTCATTTCCATCAGCAACCAACACAACGGGTGACAGCAAAAATTGGAAGTGGATGATGATGGTGGCAGAACAGTACAATGAGCATCATTCGTGTCACTGAATTCAATACGTGAAGAACCCCAAAAGGTTAATCTTCTGTTACACACACACACACAGAGAGAGAGAGAGAGAGAGAGAGCAATAAAAATAAACAGCCATTCTAATTCACCAGCACCTCAACACTCGCCCCTCTTTCTTTGTGGCTTAGCACACACGTAAGTCACTAAATCCACATCCTCAACTTGATTTTCTCCAGGTTCTTCCAACCAACCACACCAGCACATTATCACCATGTGTCCCCACAACACACACAGTCTCTTCCTTAAGCTGATGACTCTTCCCCATGGCAACCTGGAATGAACTCATGCTCATCGAGGACCATTTGCGGCTTCATCTCTTTGGCTCCCAAGAGAAGCATCCTCGACACCAGCATTCTGGGCCTGCTGCTCAGCAGATGACGATTACACAGAGAGGAAATCACACTTGTCCCACATGTATTATGTTTTTATAAGCATTCGGCTTCTCCGGATGTCACATTTAATCCTCCCAGCCCTTGAACACGCCACACTGCCTTCTACAAGGGTGTCTTATGCGAGGAGGACAACATGAACAGATTAGTGTTAAAAAGAAAAAAAGCTTTCCTTTAGCAAAATGAAGGCTGGGCTTAACAGGGCGCAGAATGCAATCGGGTACTGAAATACTGTCGCCCCATTGGAAACGTGTAGAGGCATGCAGCTTGTTAGAGTTATATATAATGCCTGGTCTCCCAAGACTTTACAAAACGAATGGCATCCATCAAGTTAATTTCCTTGGGGATCATCTTAGAAACCCACAGAATGAAAGGGCCTGGCCATTAAACATCAAAAGCCATCATCTAAATGCTAATTAAAGTTCTATTCTATTTTCTTTTTTTTTCCCCTGGGAGCAAATTAAAGTAATTCAATTGAGGATATTAGAAGTATCCAAACTGATGGCGCGGATGTGTCAAGCGTGCTGGAAAAGCATTTTAATATTGTGGACATCTGTTCCTTCAAGTTCTCCAAGACCCAGCCAGCAGCCAGCCTGACGGACAGCAGGGCGCACTTACCAAGCCGGCACACGTAGACACGGCCACCGAGGAGGAGCTGTCGTTTCTGATAAATCCCTGATAGTAGCATCGCTGCACCGAGGCTTCCTGGTTCTTCGAAGCACCATCTTTACCGAGTACCTGGACAATAAAGTGATTGCTCAAGATCGCTGAGGGTTTCAGCTCCAAGTGTAGCTCCTGTCCAAATGCTGAAAACAGGTAGTGCAGTGAACTCCGGGCACCCTGCGCCGAGCGCTTCCGCCTGGCGCTGTGCAGAATGTCATGGGAGATATAAGAGCCACCTGCATCCACTTCGACCGGTGTGACAAAGACATAATCTGCAAGAAAGAAAAAAGTTGAGCCTTCAGCACGGGCAGCCAGCCACACCAAGCGCTCATTCTCCAGCAGCTCGGCTCCAAGACTGCTTTGTGATGACGGCCATGCATGGAGATGAGATGCAAACCCAAAGAATCTCATGAACGTAAGGGACCCCAGAGTACTTTTTCCCAGCTCTGACCCCAGTTTTCCTACAGGAACTCAGTTTGTGGATAATTCCTGATTCAAACACAGGCTTTGTCCCTAAATAGTTATGGAGGCACTGCTGTGGAAGAATCCACACCTTTTATGATAAAATTAATGAACATTGAACTACTGAAGCAAATAAATGCAACTTTTCTTCAAAGAGATTAACTGATTTCAATCTTCATGCTGAAACGGAAGCACAGTGTCTTTTTTGCTGGAGGGTAGGGAGAGCCGTTTAAATTTCCAATGACAGCTCAACGCTGTAGTAACCTGAGCTGATCCTTCAGGTAATTTACAAGTGCTGTATTTACAATATTGTTTATGCATGATAATAAAGCGCCAGCTCTTGGATTGCCTTTAATAGTTTATTTTTACCACACGCTCTTGTAAGGATGATCCTATTTGATGGTAAGCATAAAATGTTGTGCATCCAGAAAAAAAAAATGCCTCTCGACATTATCAGAAGTTTCCTGAACAAAGTAATGTCTCAAGTTGCTCAAATTTGTTGGTAGAGGAATGTCTGACCAAGGATACCTGGAAAGTCCTGATCAAAATACCTTCAACACTGCTCCCTAACCAAGCCCTGCTGTATGTGGATTGACTTACAGGGACCCTGGAGGGCAGGATGGGACTGCCTCATAGGGGGTCCAAGACTCTCTTCAGGGATGTAGACTGGTACATCTTTTGCCCACAAACTGCCAAGAGTTCAATGCACTGTAGCACTAGGACTCCTTCCCATCTTCCTAAGCCAAAACCCCCAAAGTCATCGAGTTGCATCTGAGTCATGAGAGCCAAGCAGAACTGCCTTATAGGCTTTCCAAGGCTGTAATGTTTATAGGAGCAGAATACCACATCTTTCTCTTAAGAAAGAGAAGGTGGGTTTGAACCACTAACTTGTTGCTTTGACATTTGGGTTAACCCTGCAGTGCTTAACCACGGTCCCAGCAAGAGCTCCAGTTCGAATCCACTAGCTGCTCTGTGGGAGAAAGAGGAGCAATCTCCTCCCATGTGATTTACAGCCTCTGAAAAACCACTGGAGGGTCAGCCATGAGAGGGCTTTGGCTTGACTGAAGTGAGAAATCAGTGACAACAGGATTGAGGGCTGCATGCTTCAGGGAAGAGAAATTAGAAAACAATTTGCTGTCTGGGGGGGAGGGGGAAATAATGAAGGCAGTATACCTTTTCTTTCACAAAACATTGCAACTGAACAGCTATCATTCCACAAAAGGACCTGGGCTATGCCCACGGAGCATTCAAAACATTCTGTGTTTCCACTTTCTAGGCACAAAATGGGAAATGGATTTGGAAAGTGTTGAAAAGTATTCCAAAACACTAAGTCAGAGGCATGTTTGAGTGACTTGGGTTCTGGGTTACTGGAGGGGGAAAGAAGAGAGAAATTCTCTTCTTTTCCCCAAAACTGTTTTTAGAAAGGTTTAGAAAAATGAGAAAGGTTTTAAAACATTGTCCCTAAAAGGATCAAGGAGTGATATTCTAAGCAAGTCCATGTTTGCTAAAAACAAAACCCATCACTATTTAGTCTCTCTCTGGTTAGGAACTGTCTGTAACCTTTTCATTGCCAGGCAGTTGTTTGTTGGGTTTTTTGTTTGGGTTAGTTTTTTTTTTTAATGCCCCATCTCTCCCATTTTCTCTTGAATTTGTTTTTAATTAGAAATAGTATTTAATCAAGATGTAGATTTTCACTCCTTTTCTTAACCTTAAAAAATTAAGAATACACAGCTATGGTGGTTCAGCAGTTAGGAATCGCAACACCAACCCAAAAGTATGTGGTTTGAATCCAACAGCTGATCCGCAGAAGAAAGATGGGCAATCTCCTCCTCTGGATTTACCACCTTTGAAACTGGCCGAGGGTCAGCTATGGGTCCGTTTGGTACCCAGCAACAACAACAGCAACAACATATAGCTTTTAAAAATCTCCCCCCGTCTCTTTCTTCTGTTGCTCTACAGGTATATTGCTCTTGCTTCAATACAATTTTTTCTTGCAGGAAAATTTACTCCCTCCCCACCCCAAAACTCAAACCAAACTGACTGTGAGAGCCACGCCTGAGCTTAGTAATCTGTTGTTTCTTACTTCCTTGTGCAAAATCATTTCTGAAGCTCGGCTTGCGCTTGGTGGGGAAGCTATGTGGCAGGTTTGTGTCCGTCCCCCGCCCCGCCCCCCCAGCCTGCCTTCTAGGGAATCAGCTAGCAAAACTTGTCTCCTCCCCCCACAAAAACAAACAAACAAAAAACCACCGTAACCACCCCACTTGCTCCTGGCTTATTTCCAAGGGGAGAATGATCAGGCTGAGGGCTGCTTTCAGTCATGGAGACCCTAGAGGTCAGTGCTCCCAGTCAACAATGATATGACCAGCTCATTCTGGGGCTGACCAGATGAGCTCCTTCGAGGGTCCACACACCACCCCCAGGACAGTTGGGGAGTCCAGCCACTACTGGGGACAATGAATGGCTATTTCAGAAACGGCGGCTGTTTCTGCTTGGACAAAAGGTAAATGTCTTCCAAGTGCTAATTCTTGACCCTACCCAGCCCTTCACTCATCACTCCCAGGCACCACCTTTCTCTCCATGACTCCCCATCTCACAGTGTCCAGTGAGCACCTTTGTCCCCAGACAGGAAAACAGAGAAAGAAAGAAAGAGACAGAGAGGATGAGAGAGTGCGAGCGAATGCAACCTCTACAAGGTGAGAAAGAAGTGACAATACCCCTAAGAATCCAGGTTAAGACAGCTGGATAGCAAGGCGTGGCCAGTCACCTGGGTTCAGGGATCAGGGCCAGCAGCAGCTGGTGGAAACAATGAAACAAGGATTTTCCTTGATGGCAATGGTGGGGAGTCAATCGATGGCAAAGTGAAGGGTGTTTGGGAGGTCTGTGGCTGTGGGGAACCAGAACAGACCCCAGATACCTGCTTCTTTCTTTCTAAGAGCGATCTGGGGGTGATGAGAAGAAAAGGAGCAGAGGTGACAGGAAGGAAGATGTGGAGGAACGATGGGAAGGGGAAGGGTTGGAGACCTTTTCTATCAATTGCCCGGTTGGTCCACGTCCACTTCCTTTGTAAATTCTCACCGCCTAGAATTTTTTTTTTTAAAAAAAAAAAACACCAAACCACAATCCAATCCATCAGTGGCGGGGAAAGTGTTGTTTTCTCATTGATGTGACTTGCAGCTTGAGGCACTGATACTCCCGATAAGCCCTGAATCCTGTCCACTTCCCCCTCTCCCAAAAAAGCCCTTTCCAGGAGGAGAGCACACCTGCCAGGTGAGGGGGAGGGGGCGGCTTTGCTACCTCGTCTCTCCTGGCGGGGAGGAAGGGACCCAGTGCCAAGGAAAGGCCCTGGGAAGGGTGGGGGAAATACGAACCATCATTTAATCCGCTGCCACCACCGCGGCTGTCACTGGCTAAAGCTGTCGCAACAGACGCGCAGCAAAGGCAGCACAGCTGGAGCGCCTGCAAGAGAAAAGGTGACATGGTGGGTGAGGGGCGCGGCGGACTGGTGCCCCCCGTCCCCCGCTCCCAGCGCGCCCCTGAGCGGCACCTGCCTTGGCTAGGCGCCCCCTTCTCGCGGGACTCCATGGCCGGCCGGAACCCGCGGCCCGGAGGGCGCACGCGAGCAGGAGGGCGCACTCCATGGTTAGGTGCGGGAGCAGCAGCTGCGGGCGGCCGGGCTGAGCGCACAGGCGGCGCTCATTCTCCCTGCGGCCTCGGAGCGTGGCGCCCCAGGTGCGGCGCCAGGTGGGAGCCGCCGCCGCCGCTCACCTGGCGAGGCGGGCGCCCCAGGCCTCCCTGCTCCGGCTGCCTGCGCGCCCTCCCCTCTCCGGCGCTGCTGGCCCGTGGAGCTGCTGCCTGCAACTCCGGGGGGTGCAGGGGGCTCCTTGAGCCGGGACTGGCGTGCGCCGGGGAGAGCAGACGGCAGGGGCACACTGCCTGAGCCTGCCTGCCTGTCTGTACGTCTGTCTGTGTCTGTGGGAGCGTCTGGGACTCGGAGGAAAGCAACGCCAGCTGGCTCCCCCAGCGCGCAGCAGCCAGCGCCCGCCTCTCCAGCGCGCAGTGATTGGCGACCAGCGGCTCCCGGGCTCGTCCGAGCCCCGGGGCTGGTGCAAGGGCGTGGGATTCCGGGCTCCTGCTCCAGAGGAGGGGGCAGAGGGGGCGGGGAAGCTGGGTGGGGGTAAGGGGGAGGGAGGGACCCGCTGCCGAACGAGGGAGGGGAGCGCGCTGAAAAAGGCGAGGAAGTGGTAATTTAAGCTTTAAACGCAAGGAGGGACGAGCCCAAAGGGGGGAGGTCCAGGTAAAAGGTGCCTGCTCAGACTTCGCATTTCTTAGTCTCCCTGAGAGGGGAGCATTCTCAACCAAACAGCATTCCCATCTCCTCACTAGTGCCAGCGGCTGTTCCCGGTTGGATATCATTTCCCTCACGCCCTGTTCTTGCAAAACTCCAAACACCATTGCTATCGAGTCGGAACCGACTCATAGATGACCCTCTCAGAGGTTTTCAGAGGCAATAAACTGTGTAAGAAGTTGTGCTTATTTCTCCAGTGGAGGAGCTGCGGGTGGATTTGAACCCCAAGAGACATGCCACCTTTGGGCTAGCAACCCAGCTCCCTAACCACTATGCCACCAGAACTCCCTTCCTGCAAAGTGGAGATTATTAACCACTTGACAGCGTTAAGGAAATTGAGGTTTAGAAGATCCATACTATAGATACGGAGTAACTCACAAATCTAGGGCAGCCTGGCAGGGTGGAACAATGAGCTTTGTCCTGTCTGGAGCCTGGGAGAGCACAGGGCCAGGGGTGGCCTCGCCTTTTCTCCCGGATCTTTCTCTCCTCTCCAAGTGAGGAGATTTCCAGCTCTTCAAAACTGAGTCCTGGCCCCAGGCACAAACCTGCAGCAATCGGCCATTACAAACAGTGCTGGCCATGGCTGCGAGGGTGCGGCCAATTTGCTGAGTGCCTGGTCATTTGCTCACACATTGGTTTGATCTTTTAATCCCTACTGGTGGCCTACTCCCCACAGGCCAGTGGGAAAATTTCCTTGGAAAATTCAAAAGACAGTAAGAACAAAACAGTCACAAACGCTATAAAGGAAAATAATTGGCTCCTGAATTGGAAAGAACCTAATTTAGGTTGAGGGGATAAAGTGTGTGTGTGTGTGTGTGTGTGTGAGAGAGAGAGAGAGAGAGAGAGAGAAAGAACTCTCAGGAGCAGACATTTAAAATAAGACCAAAGGGATAAGAAGGGGAGGGTCAGATAAGAAGGGGATGCGAAGGGGGATGGGGTCAAGGAGAAGTTAGAGCCTGTATGATAAGCAAAGAAAACTCTAAACTCATTGCCATGAACTTGGGCTCAACTCATAGCTGACCGCCTGCCTAGTAGGTTTCCGAGACTGTAGGTGACTGCCCATCTCTTTTTCAGAGAGGCTGGTAGATTCGAACAGCTAGAGAGGTGCCAGCTAAGGGTTAGCAGTGCTATGAGCTACACCACCAGAGCTCCCTACAGGAGAGCGCACAGCTTGAGTCAAGGTCCTGAAGGAGGCAAAGTGCTTGGCATGATGGAATCCAGGTAAGAGGAAGAGGCAGTAACGCCTTGAGGTCAAGTCCGAAGGATTTGGTCTAGGGGGTGAGGCATGCTGGGAAATGGTTACCCAGAAATAACCAGGTGTTAGAGAGAGGGAGGGAGGGTGGCAAGGAAGTGAGGAAGGCGGCTCCACAGTCTTAAATCCAAGTTTTGGGGTAACCTGGGCTTTCATTGATATTAAAGCCACAAATGTCTACGGGCGGTTAAGTGTGTTCCTCTTTGGCACATAAAGCTTTTCACTAAGACTTTCCTCTTTTCTCCATGTGTAGACTCCACTCTGAATCTCTTTATTTGTATCTTATGCATCCCATAATAAAATTGTAATCATAATTAGCAAACTAACGGGAGTAGTTGGAATCAGCAAATTAGAGTGAGGGGAGCTAGGGACCCTTGAACTTTCAGCTAATGCCCAGAGGGATGTAAAGGCAGAATCCTTCCTAATTTGTAGTCAACAGGTCAGAAATGATGTTACGAGGCCTCCCAAATTTTCAGTGTAATAGCCGGTATTGTAAACCACCGCTGAACACAATTAAGGAGCAACAAACTATTCTTCCTGGCCTTGACCCCCACAAAAGAGGTTCTTTACAATCTGCCTTTCAGGACACTTATATTTATTTCTTCTCTATGCAAGTTCCTTTCCCCCTTTAATGTCATCTGTCTTGTATCTTTATCTTTTTTTAACCAACTCCTCTTAGTACTTTTGTGACTTTGGACACATAGTCTTAATGTGCTCATCTCCAACAGACCTAGAAAGAACACCCTTACCTCAAACCTTTTTATTTGTTTGAAGCTTGAATGAATCCACCTATTGAACAGTGCCTGGTGCAGAACCCAGCACCACTGGGACTCAGTGAACGGAACCTATTCTCCCTTTTGTGACCTTCAGGTTCCCTTGATCTACAACCGATCCACTTCCTGGAATGACTAAAATCCTGCACAGCAATAGGTGCTGTCTGAATGTTCTTCTATCAAACACAGCAGCCGGGACCCTGGCTTTGCCCACCTAACTTGAGGATTGTGTGTAGATCCCCACCATCGTGGTTGGCATCACCAGAAACTGCTCTTTTCTCTCAGAAACACATGAAGAAATGGCCAGAAGCTGGAGGTTGTGAAAATTGGAGGAAAATGTCCTCTCTGCACAAATTTTGCCTTGGGGACTTGTTCCCAAGCCAAACCGGCTGCTGCTGAGTCAATTCTGACTCACGGAGGTTCCAGAGGACAGAGGAGAAGGGCCCAGTGGGGTTTCCAAGGCTGTGCGTCCTTCCAGAAGCACTGCCTCACCTTTCTCTCCTGCAGAGCTCACCACCACCCTCTGGATTAGCAGCTGGAGTCTAAAACCACTGGGCCACCAGGGCTCCCTGTGAGAGGGTGAAATGGGTTTCCGTCCACCTCACTCACCAGCAGGACACAGCTGTTCACATGCCTAGCTTGCGTTGCTGTCTTCTCCTGGACCTTTTCTTATATGGGGGAGTTGATTAGGAGCAAGAGTCATCTCACCCAGTGCTAAGTACTGCGTTACTACTTCAAAATCACGAGAGTCATCATCATCTCAGAAAGGAACTGCAGCGAGGAGCCTGGGGATGGCAGAGATGGTGCGGACGGGGCAGGACCGGGCAAGGTCTCACTCTGTTGTCCACAGGCTCACAGTGAGCGGTGGTCACTGGCATTTAACAGCCACCCAGCGTCTCTCCCACGTGCTCACAGTCTCAGAGAGGTCTGTTAAAACACTGCTCTGTGAAGTCTGTAAAGTGAGGGAAGCCACATCCATCACACTCACCTTTCACTTCACAGCAACCTGCGTTCTGGCTGCTTCTGCCTCCTCAACCCTGAAACCACCCCTATTGAGAATTCCAAAAAGCACTGGGGTTGGGAGAATGGACAGAAACAGAGACACATAAACATAGAGACTCTGGTCCTTTCACTGACAGAGGTGAAATGCTTTTCGGATAAATACAAAGGAAGAGGAGTGGGGCGGCTTTTTCCTCTTTCAGTCGTTGCGTGAACAACTAATGATCACAGCTTTTTCAAAACGCTCTCACTTCCTCAGCTTCTAGGAACGTAGCCTGTCCTGGTTTTTCTTTGGTTATTATTGTTGTTGAATGTTTTATGTATGTATCATTTCTATATGCCTTAGCAAGGAAATGAGGGGCACTCTCTCTCCCCCCACCCCAGTGATTTATGGCCTTTGAAAACCTGCTGGAGGGTCAGCAATGAGTCGATTCTGACTCAGCGGCAATGAGTTAAGGTGCCTTAAATATTGGTGCTTCCCAGATTTCTGCCCATCACCCTTGTCTCTTCTGATGAATCTCTGTTCTGGAGATTCAGATGACATCAAATTTGCTGACTTTCCTTCCAGATCCAAGCTCTCTCTGAAACCCTAGACACGGATTTCTAACCACGTTCGGGGCATACTTGATGCATCAGGGGAACTTTCAAATCAACAGGCTCTAAGGTAATACATCAGCTATACTGAATCTGCCACTATCTTCTCAGATCTCACACTGTCCAGTTCTGGATGTGGAAGATGACGGAAAGGGCACAAGTCAACTGTCCCCCAGACTGGCTTTTTAATTCCTCTCAATCATCATATCCTTGAAGGCTTGGAGGAGAAGGTACCTACCTCATCCAGAAAGACACACCCACCCCGCCTTGCACCCCTGTCTGGGTTAGAGGCACTTCCCTGTGTTCCCAGGTTGGATAAGTGAGGCAGGAACCGTTAAGGTTAGAATCTTTTATCCCGACTACCACCACCTTGTCAGTGCTCTAGACCAGATAGTGTCACTTCCACATCTGCCTCCAGGACTGAGAACAGGGCTAAGTGCACACATGCTCATACAAACCTCACTGCCCAGAAGGAAAATATTCAGACTGTTGAAACGTACCACGTACACCATCTCCTCACCCAGCAATGTACCTTCTTTCTACTGCACCCTATGAAGCACAAATTCCACAAACTAGTGAAAGCCAGGCAATGAATAAGGATGGCAGAAGAAGTGATGCCTTTGAACTGTGGTGTTGGAGTACTGAATATCCCACGGACTGCCAGATGAACACACC